TTGAGGCAGTGCTGATTTGCACCGTCAGAGAACATGACCCCAAAACATTGCATTTAAATTCATTTTCCCCATGTTTCCAGAGTTCTAGTGAGAGACAAACTGCCTCCCCCTCAGGAGTCATAGGGCAGGGTGGTATATAAAATAAGAGCTGTTTGATTCTCCCTGTACCATTAGGGGCAGGGAATGAGGAGAGAATATGGATAGAGTGTGTTTGTCAAGAATGAGCAGGAAGGGGATGGAGATCTGCTGATGCTGACAGTATTTCCATGATCTCCAGGTCTCCCCTGCAGCATCCCACTAATCCTACCCTACCAAGGCACCTCTTCCTCCAAATGCAGCACTTTGGGACCCTACTGTAGTTTCTCTGCCAGAGCAGAATCACACACCAGTTCTGCTGTAGCAAGCAGGGATCCTCCTTGCTGTGCATCTCTCTAGGACCCAACCCAGCAACTCTGACAGTTTGTCCCTAGAGACTGACCACTTCCTGCTGTGCTTCAGACACAGAACCTCCAGGCCATCCCACTTCTGCAGGGGATTGCTGGCTGCCCATCCCTCCTGCTCTGCATCAAACCCAGTTAATGCCAAGCACAGACCCCTGTAACCCAGGTGAACTCTGGCTCACCCTGCTGCTGCTATCTGCTTACACCTCAGCTGCCTCCTCCAAATGATGGCTGCTGACCTGGTAGTTTAAGCCTGGTCTCCCTTTACATGATTACATCATTCCTAGAAACTGCAGCTGGCTTTGTTATGGAGCAGGTTCTCTGTGCAGGTCCAAGGGCACTTTCTAGGACGCTGTGGTAATCCTCACAAATTCCCCTGTACTTCAGGTGTCATCTGATGCATTACCAGATGTCACTTGGCTTGGATGCAGAGTGCTGTGCACACCAAGGGTTTTCCAAGTTCCCATACCAATAAACCACTTGCTCATTCCCCTTGCTGGCTGTTGTTCATGAGAAGCATGAAAACTGCAAGCCACAGTTATAAGCAATTATAAGCTCCTGTCCTTATATGATTCCCATGAAAAGAGCATGGGAGAAATTCGAGTGAGAGGTGTCCCTGCTCATAGCAGCAGCACTGACAAAATTATCTTTAAGGTTCCTTCCAGCCCAAACCATTCCATGAGCTTTTTGATCTTTGGGGCAAAACCTTATGGGCACAGGAAAGTGCTGTCTCCTCCTAGGCAGAAATTGAGATGCAAGACATCTTTCCATTTTCAGGAGGAAATGGCAGTTTGTGGAGCTGGAGATATGTAATGGGCAAGGGATTTTCCACCCCTCAGTCTGAGCTCTGCTGAGAGAGGCCAACTTGAACTGCTGCCTGAATGCTGCAGAAACAAACTGGCCAAGCTGGCATCTGCTGAACTATTGGTAGTCGCACTCCCAGAATGGCCATCAGCTGCCACTTTGACAGGAATCCAGCATTGTTTGGTGGCATTTACCTTCAGGGACAGATACTTCTCTGCATCAGGGAGAGCAATTTAAGCTTTCAGAAATGTGTCTATATATTTATTGCTTTATTTATTTATTTATTTATTTAATTCAATAATTATTCCTGTCACAGCTCAGACTCTGACTCAGCTTAATTAGCATTGAAAAGGTCACCTCACAGAAAGTTAGGTAGATGAAGGACAGGAAGTCATACACCATTTCCTTCCCTTCCTTGCTCCAGAAGGGAAAGTCTAAACATCTCTATGCTTGTGCCTGACTCTGGTCCTGTGCAGGGCCAGGAGTTGGACTTGATGGTCCTTGTGGGTCCCTTCTAACTCAGGATATTCCGAGATTCTGTGAGATGACATTATATTAACTATGACTGTTCAATTTTACCTTTATCTGTAGCCAGCAAACAAACCTTCCAAAACAGTGCTTCTTCTCTTTTTCTGTGGTAATGAGATTTTAAAAAAGAGTGGAAACCACTGAATTAGCTGGGAATGCTGGCCCTCAGGCAATGTGCTCCTGGATATATCAAATTTAGTAATGTGTATTTAGTAGTATGTCGTTAAGATGATGTTGAGTTGGTTTCACTCGCATACATCACACATTTCACTGCATGACCCAACTGGATTGTTCCAGTTTTGTTTCAATAATATTTAAGGGACTAGGCCAAATTAATAGGCTAATTTTCACGCAGATCATGTCTACAAGTACAGTTTTGCCTGATATTTCTATGTCTCATCCAGCAGTTCCCGGATTCTTTATGAGATGGCAAAAGTGAGGTAACTATAATCCATTGTTATCTGTGTTTCTGCTAACAATAAAAATCATAATGGATTTGCTGTCTATAGAGCACCTGACCATCCTTCCTGGAACAAAGATGCTGTAGAAATGTTCCACCTCATTCTTCAAGGATTTAGTCCAGCATTAAAAACTAACTTCTAGCTGGCAAAATTCACTCTTAATATTCAATCTAAACCTCCTCTCTGTCAGTGTGAAGCCATTCTCCCTCGTCCTGTCATTCCAGGCCCTTGTCAATAGTCTTTTTATTTTCTGCAGGCTCCCTTTGGGTGCTGGAAGGCTGCAAGTTGTGTGGATGTTGAGAGCTGCAAAAGGACAGCAGGAGAGAATCAGACATGTAATTTTGCAGGCACAGCCTCAAGCCACTGGTTTCCACACCATGACATGATAGCTAGTGGATGCAACAGTCCTCCAGGATCTTGGCTCTGGAAAACTGGAGCTGATCCTCACTGTTTGGTCCAGCCTGCCAAGGCTCACACAGACACATTTTTCACTCCCTCCTTCCCCTAGAAACCAGGGTTTCCTAATGGCCTGAGCAACACATTGCAGTTTCTGCCTTTTGTCCCCTACAGGGACTGGTGTTAATCTGGTGGTTCTCTGCTAGTGCCTGTCCTCTGCCTTAAGGATAAACTCAATGCACATTTCAAGAATTGCTCATGCAGTACAAGTTATTCCCACAGATTCCAACACAAGAGAGGAACCACTGAGAGCAGCACAAAGCTGGTGGGAGGCAGTGCTTGGAGAAAGCCCAGGACCAGAGCAGCAGACCCAGGAAGGAGAAAGCTGCAGACAGCCCAGAGAGCAGAGCCAGATGCAGTCTGTGTGGCAGCGTCGTGCATCTCCACAGGAACTGAACGGGGTCAGTGACTGACATCTGAGACACAGCAGAGCAGTGCTTGGAAGCACAGGGTCTCTCTCCTCGGTGCTGCCTTTCCTTCACTGCCTCATCTCATGATCATGGTTACATCCAGAAGCTACCAGAAACATCTTCCCCAAAACCACTATTTTTGTACCTGTTTCCTCCAGCACTCCCCTGGATTTCAGAGAGGCTGCTGAAAAATGAAAGAAAACCACTGGAAATTATTATCCTTCATGGTCTGGGGGTGCAGTTTATCCTGTGTGTAAGCACAGCCACTTTGTACTCACAGCAATTCATGGTTCCCCTGGGGCTAAACCCCCTCTCACTGTCTGCTAAGCTGGTGCTCACCTGTAGCTTAGGATCAGATGGAGGTGTGGGGGTGGTGACACATGCTTGGAGGTAATTCCAGTCACACAAATCCAAAAGAAAATTCACAGAAGAGCCACCTGAGACAGAGCAGTCACTGCAAATGCCACCTCTCTGCCATCACAGAGCATATTCAAAGCATGGGGGTTTCCACAGGTCAGGGACACAGCAGCAAAAACAAGGCAAAGATAATCTGCTGGGTATTAGTGGACGGGTATGGGTAATAAAAGGTCAGCTAGTTCAGGAGAAGCCCCTTTGATGTTTCAAATCTGCCTGACATCTGAGATGTCTGCTGCCTTCCAGAGCTGGCAGCAGGAGCTACTGTTTTTCTCAGGCTCTTTTCTCTGTGCCTGTGGCAAGAAAAGCAAGGACATATTCAGCACTGCCTGGCTTGGAAATGCTGTTTATTGGGATGAGGGAACTCACAAGTCCTTACAGGATTACTGCTAGGGTGACATGTTGTAAAAAGAAAAGGCCTAGAGTTCATTTCCATTTCTGTTTCCACATTGCCCAGCCACCATGTCTCCTTCCTTAGGTTTGGCCTAGGCCTGGCATCCAAGAACACAGATTCGAAACAGGCTTCTATTGTCCTGCCTCCTTAGTTCTTCCACCCCACAGCAACTATCACATTCCCAGCCTTGCTAAGGGGGTGAAATGCCAGAGAGCTTTTGCTGGAGGATGCATGTGGCTTCAAATTGGAAGAGTGTACGCTTAGATTGGATGTCAGGAAGGAATTCTTCCCTGTGAGGGTAGTGAGGCCCTGGCACAATTTGCCCAGAGAAACTGTGGCTGCCCCATCCCTGGAAGTGTCCAGGACCAGGTGGGATGGGGCTTGGAGCAAGCTGGGCTAGTGGAAGGTGTCCCTGCCCATGGCAGGGTTTACAATGAGATAACCTTCAAGGTCCTGTCCAACCCAGGCCATTCTAGGATTCCATGATGATTCTCTGTGGATCATAACTGAGAAACAAAGGGTGACAGAAGCTGTCCTTCAGATGGAAGGTCATCTTTCCAGGCACTTTCCAGTCCTGCTTTTTGGACTTGCAGCACAGCTTTACTGTTGCTAAGCAAGTCAAAACTCTAGCTTCAAGAAGTCAGGGCCACAGCTAAGCCTGAAACCTGACCTGGATTTATTCTGTGAGCGTGTTTCCTATGCTCAGGATTTGACTGTGCTTGGATGTGGGGATGGCATACAGATCTGACTGCACAGTTAATCCCTCATTACAGAGGTACTTTCTGCTTTCTCAGATGGTAGGAGGGAGGGAGACAGACAGATGAAGCCCTGACATTTTGTCTGCACAGAACTAGAGACCTGGACTTCTCCAGAGAGAAAATGCTGCTGGATACTGCCAAAAAAGGGACTTTGCTGTGCTCAGGTTTCCCTGGCTTAGGTCTGTTTGGGGGTACAGAAATGGAGCTGCTGCTACAAAATGTCTCCTACCCACAGAGCTCTTGGTAACATTTTCCTCGTAGTTCCCAAGCTCCTCTGTTTCCACAGAGAACAAAAGAAAGTTCCCATTGCCTTTGCAAAACAAACACATCCTCACCTCCGCCAGCTGCATCAATCTCGAGCCTTTTGTAAAACAAATCCTTTTTGTGGAACTCCGCTTTGAGTGGAGGAAACTCCACTGGCTCGTTCCTGCAGGCAGAGCTCTCCAGGGCCGGGACTGCATCGTGGCTCGGCTCAGGTCAGGTCATTCCGTGCGCAGCACCAGCATCTGCAAAGTCATCGAGCCTTGGCTGCAGAGCGCTGTGCCGAGCCGGAGCCCAGCTCCGCAGGCACTGCGCATTCCTGCCGGCAGGAACAGGCTCCGGGAGCACGGGCAGCCTCGCCGCGACCTTGCAAAGTCCGCCGGAGAGGAGAGGGGCAGAGGAGCCCAGGCTCTCCCTGGCACAACCTGTCAGAAGGTTCATTCTAAATTCCCCTCTCGCTCTGCCCCCTTTGCCTGCTCGTCTCTGGTGGAAGACGGGAGAGGTTGCTGGATCACCTGGTCGTGCCCAGCTGTCGTCATGCCCATGACGACTGCGGTTTAATTATAGAAAGTTGTCTTGGCCCAGCTCCAGAAGCCAAGGACTCAGGTCTGCTAACCAATAATTTACTTCCCCTACAACTCAGGAGCACTAAGTCTCTGCAACTCCAAACAGCTCTAGGTTGCTCAGACTACTGGACCAGTTCTTTAGACATTATATTCTTGGTCATCTTGTTCTTTCTTTTTAAGAAACTTCACCTTCTAGGATATTTCAGGTAGAAACTTCTGAGCAGAGTCACTCACTGCAAAATAATGAGCACGCAATCCTGAAAAATGAGATGCAGTGATGTTTTATACAACCAAAAAGGAAGGGAGGAGAAGAAGGAAACACTAATCACATCTGGATGCACCACAGTGTCACTATTGCACTGGTACTTTTTTGTACTTTGTACTTTTGTACTTTGTACTTTTGTACTTTTGTACTTTGTACAAAAGCTTGTACTTTTTTTTTTAATATCAAGAAGATTATAGGTTCTTTAATATCACATATCTTTAATATCACATTTCTCACAATGGCTGTGTGAAGCCATTTCACACACCTATAACCCACACCTCTTGTGCCTATGATGCTCTCAAGCTTATATAAGACAGAGGGATGAAAATTTCTGAAGTGACAGCTGCAAGAGAAGAGATTCCTTTTCTCCTTTATTCCACCACAGAGGACCCTGTGTTGGAATCTGCTAAACTGGGAACATCTTCCACTTAAGCTGCTCCTGCAGACACCAGTCAGGTCAGGGTTGTTTCCTTGCTCTGAGACGGAGACAGAAAGCTCCACATCAATGAGCTGCACACTCCCCACAGCTGGCAAAGGAACAGGGAGCTCAGGGGGTCCATGACAGCGTTTGACAAAAGAGCTGGAGAAAGCCACCCCTGCTATGAACACAGACACCATTCCTGCTGCAGAAAGTGGAACGCTAGGGCAGGCTTTCTAGGGACACAAGGATTAGCTGGAACAGATAAAAATGACAGTAACAGAAAATGAAATACAAGGCATTCCTTGCAAATTTAATTCTCCTCTTAGTGATACATGTCCTTTTCATTTGCCAGGCTGGCACTGTCACCAAGGTCAATGCAAATGTGCTGTCAGCTGCAGGAAATTGGTGCGAAACTGAGTATTTCTGAATGTCCCCAGGATTTCTGATGGCCTCTGCAATATTGAACTGGGCTTCATTCTCTTGTCACAAGTCCCACTTATACAGCTAAATCATTTTTTTTTCCATTTAGGGAAGAGAAGACATCTCCATTAATCTGATCTGCCCCAACTCCCAACTAACATAAGCTCTCCCATACTGTGCTAAGACAGAGGTTTTGCTGGAATTTTAGAAGGGATAACAACATAACTTCATTTGTTCTTCCCTCCTAAAAGCACCTCAGCAGCTGAGATTTTTTCATCCCTGCAGTCCAACTCTCATCCTAAATGGAAGAGTTGGGCCAGCCAGAGCAGTACCTATCCTCCATCAGTGCTGCGCCAAAAGCTGTGCAGGCAGCTGTGGAACAACCAAAAAAAAAGTTCCAGAAGGGAACACTGGTAAAATATCACTTCTGAGACCCATCAGTTCTGTGAAATGTAAGAACATTGCTATTGCATCTTCTGCCAGCACCACGGCACTGTAGAAATCCTCCTCTCTGTAGAGAATGGGTGGGCTCCACCATCTGTCTCCTGAGCACTGCAGAGAGCACAACAACTCCCTCTGCACATGCTCTGGCACGCAGCAGCAGTGAGTGATGTCCCCAGCTCTGGCTCTGAGTGGGCAGATGCGAGCAAATAGGATTTATCAATTCATCACTGTGTTGCTTTTTAGTTTTGCCTTGGTACAACTGCACTGAATTCCACCGAGCTAAGCTGGAGTAATACCTCAGGGAACCTGCTGCTCCTTCTCCCACCCACACTCACACAGGCCCCACTCCAACCACAGCTTTCACCCCATGGACAGGTTGGTTTGGCAAGCAAACTCTTTTAAGAATGAATCATTGTCAGAACAGACAGCTTGAAGAAAGTTTCTTTCTAGTGAAGCCACCTCTGAACTGGACTGGGGAACCAGAGCATCAAAAACCAGTGATAACACTCATTACCCTGAGAATGATTTTTATTCCCAGAACTCATTTCATCTCCTAGCAGAGGGCAGGAAGTGTCACTTGTAGTTATTGAATGGGGCAAGCATGGCAAACAACAGGATCCATGCTCCCCATCTCCCAGACAGGCTGTTCCATTGCCTTATGGACACTGCCATTATTTCTGAAATCCAGCATTCAGCCAGGTCAAAGGAGATGAGAACTGGTCACCAGGTTGTCTTCTCTCCATCAAACCCATCCCAATGTAATGGGAGTGGAGGATGTCAGAGATGTCACATCTACCAAAGCTGCCAACTCTTCCCTTAGCAACCCTGACAGTTGCCAGGAAACGATGCCTTGCTGTTACTACGGTGACACAGGGTTCCAAAGCCACATGCCACACAACACCCACCTGCCAGGGAAGGGGAGAAATGCTCACCCTGGCTCTCCCATCACTTCACAGGTGAGGAAAGCCTCCACTCGAGCCACAGAAATTCCAGCAGTGTAAATCAGGAGCAGGGTTCCTGCCACCTCAGATCTAGAAAGGACTTTGGCCACCTGTCCAGGTCACCAACAGGTCTGGTATTGCACTGCTTCCTGCCAGCACCCAGAGGGTCTTACTGGGGAGTGACATGAATCCTAAGAGAAGGTCTCAAAGGTGGCAGAGATATGTCAAGTGATCCAGAAACACCATCACCAAAACTCACCACAAAGAAAAGGGAAGAAAAGCCCGATTCTTTGTCTCACTGGGTAACACCACTGCCTATTCTACAAGGAGCAAGAACAGGGAGAGGACAAGGCATTTTTTTTATTTTTTGCTGTTTACTTGGCACACTTTGGATTTCAAACAGTGCCACACAATAGTGCAATACAACACAGGCCTGTGTAAGTACCAACTCCCTTTGAGGGATCCAGTCAGGCTATGGAAAATGGTGAGGGCCTGGAGGTGAAGGGCCCTCCAGTGAAGGGCCTGGAGGTGAAGACAAAAGGAGTGGCTGATGTCACTTGGTTTGTTCAGCTGGGGAAGAGGAGACTGAGGGCAGAGCTCACAGCAGTTCTGCAGCTTCCTCACAAGGAGGAGGGGCAGGCCCTGATCTCTGCTCTGTGTGACCAGGGACAGGACCCAGGGAACAGCTGGAACTGTGTCAGGGAAGGGTTAGGTTGGATATCAGGAAAAGGTTCTTCCCCAGAGGGTGCTGGGGCACTGAACAGGCTCCCCAGGGATGGTCACGGCTCCAAGGCTGCCAGAGCATTTGCACAGCACTCTCAGGGATACACAGGGTGGGGTTGTTGGAGTGTCTGTGCAGGGCCAGGAGTTGGGCTGGATGATCCTTGTGGGTCCCTTCCAACTCAGTGGATTCTATGATTCTAAGACTGCAAGAGCCAAGAACCCACAGAAGCAGAGACAGACACACAGCCTGATGCAGGATCACACAGGGAATTGTCTGCCCAGCCCAGGAGCTGCAGTTTTCTACTGTGCCACCACCTGAGCACAGCAAATGGACAGTATTCCAACCCCTTGCAAAGAATGGGAAGGAGGTTTCCTGCATCTCCCCCAGTCTGTTCCTGACACTTGACACTGCAAACCTGTGGTCTTATGAAGAACAGGAACAGGATTCCCGCTCTGACTTTGCCAATCTGTTAACTCTGCCTTTTCCTGCCTCAGGAGACACCAAGTGTCAGCCCAGATGGAGCCTTTTGGAAGAACAAACTACCTGTGTCAGCTAAGTGGGAGCCTTGACACCAACACAGATTTCTGTACCCTCTTAATAGAAGCTGGGTTTCCTTTCCTTGCTACAGAGGAAGAAAAAAGGCCTTAGATTTTTGTCTCCTGGCCGAAAATTGGTTGAGTGTACCTTGCACCCCAAAGACAATGTAGGTGGAATTGAAGATGGATGGGAAGACTGACGTAGTCTCTCTCCCTCATCCGCAGCCTGTCTGGAGGCAAGCCAAGAGGAGCAGGGTGTTCCAGCTGAAGGGGTGGTGCAAAGTCCTTCCCTCCTGCAGAGGGAACAGCAGGGAATATTCTGCTCTCACTCCATGCAAAACAGCACAGCTCCTTACCACATCCCACCCAGCGGGCGAGGGCAGAAGACATCAAAGTCTTTCAGAGCTGCTACTTTGTCGCACATCATAGCCAAGAGGATTAGTTTAGTAAGGGCAGATACTAAGCTCTGATCATCTTGTTCCAAGGGTATAGATTACCCAGACAATATGAGCCATGGGGAAAATTAAAAAAAAAAAAAAAAAAATACTCGAAAACCAGCTGACCACAAATCAAGCCAGAACATTTTTCTCAGAATGGCTAATGATAGAAAGAAAAAAATAATCACTTTTCTTTTTTTCACCAGTTCAGAAGCTGATTAGAAATGTTTTGCTCCAACTCTTAACAGAAAATACAGGCAAAAGATTTTCTGAAAGATGTAAACACAAAGGAGCCATTTGATCTCTTGGTGCCATCCCTTTGTGTTCCACAGACTCTGCTTTCATCCATTTGCTTCTTCAATTAACACAATGAGAGATATTGAGCTAAAGCTTCTACTTTCTGAAAGCCATCCAGTTTTAAGAAAATCAAGAGGTGGTGATGCTTCTCTTGATCATGCCCTCCAGGGAATAACCACTGGATTCAGAACAGGCCCTCATTTTCTGTTTTCTTATACACCAGTGACAAACTCTAGATCACCTGGAGGGCACAGATATACACCTATGCCATCCATACATTGTAACAAAATTATTAGCACATTTCAGAGACAACCATCACTGGAGCCATTTATTATTTATTCAGCTCTGGAAGGTTATCAGCTCCCAGCTGAGATCATCAGAGTCATTCTTCCTCCATCCTATCTGATGGAAGAGCAATGGAAATCCTGTCTGGGTTTTCTGACTGTGGGAATCGTGCCAGTTTGACCTCCCTTGGTGCTTCCAACCCTGTTTATATAACCAGAGAGCCATCCCCTGCCCTGGGGCAGTTGGCAGAAGGCTGATGGGTAGT